CATACCTTATAGCCAAGGTTTGTGGCTATAAAGTACATCTGTTTTCGGCATGCCTTATAGCCAAGGTTTGTGGCTATAAAGTACATCTGTTTTCGGCATACCTTATAGCCAAGGTTTGTGGCTATAAAGTACACCTGTTTTCAGCATACCTTATAGCCAAGGTTTGTGGCTATAAAGTACATCTGTTTTCGGCATACCTTATAGCCAAGGTTTGTGGCTATACAGTACACTTGTTTTCGGCATACCTTATAGCCAAGGTTTGTGGCTATAAAGTACATCTGTTTTCAGCATACCTTATAGCCAAGGTTTGTGGCTATAAAGTACACCTGTTTTCGGCATGCCTTATAGCCAAGGTTTGTGGCTATAAAGTACATCTGTTTTCAGCATACCTTATAGCCAAGGTTTGTGGCTATAAAGTGCGCATGTTGTAAGATTTTGAGCAGCATATTTTAGCTTTGAAGATGCCTCGTCAAGTAAAGTACAGTATACAGGTACTGTACCAAAACAACTACCATACCTAGAGCTTGTGTGAACTCGGGATAAAGATTCGCCGTAAACAAAGGATCTGGTAGCTCCCTGAAATATTGTTTTAATGTCCCTGCGACAGCGTGAATGTCTGCTTCGGAGATATACACCAGAGCTTCTTGACTGTCTGTAACATTGAATACAAAAATAACGTTACATTTACTTATGTTGGTCATTAGTTATGGCCGCGCTACTACCACTGGATGGTGATTTTTTCCAACCGTTGATAAAGTGTTTAAATAGTGATAAAACTACGAATACGGATCCCAAAATTAATAAAAGGAAACCTATATAGTCAATAAATATCACACGCATTATCATCACCATCACTGCCAGAATCACCAACCATTTTAATCACCATCATACAGTAATATCACCACCACTAACATCATCACCACCACCATCACCATCATCACCATCATAGCCACGATGATGATCACAATGGTGAAGATCACCATCATTACCACCACCACACTACCATCATTATCCTTTACCAACATCATTGTTGTTAACGCAGGGTGCAATAATTCGCGTACTTACGTACCGGAGTTACGCCAATATTACTGTCTGGTACTTCTTTGTTTTCAACGACGTACCACGTTGGTACACAGAACTCTTGCTATCTGCGTACTTACTTTTTGCTGGTACCACATGACCTTTCCAAGTCCAAGGTATTCAATACCGCAATTTAGTTCGTATATCATGTGTCTGAGATGTCTTGGCATGAAACAGGATTGGACTGATGGGACGTTTGAGTCGATTGTTTGTATATGTAATTGCGCTTCTTTTTCTACCTCGTAGTCGGAACATACTTTTCAGACACCTATGCTTTATGAACCTTATTTTAAAGACTAAATACACATTGAGTACTGAGTTTGTGCTACAGTAGCTCAAGTACGCGGCAACAACCATTGGCGCACCAGTCGGGTACGACAAAAAATCTTCAACTATCGCACCCTAGTTAATGGCAAAATTTTCAAATATCAACAGCACTAATGTATACGACCCTCTCTCCTCCGCAGAGGCTTTAGTTTTCTTAGGATTTAATATTACGATGAGATACATTTCACTACACTTTACATGGCGGATCTTGGAACACGAGGCGTAGCCGCTGGGCGAAGGAGCGCAGGCGGCAAAAGGGAAAGGCGAATATACGACCGATAAAATACAAATAATTCGAACAGCATTTCACTTTGTACTGTACCATTGCTATCTTCATACGTGTGTTGTTTTTGCTTGACAGCAAAAAAACAAAAAAAACTTACTTTCGTCAAACTTTTCCTTAAGTCTTCTAACATCCGAAGTTACTCCAGATACTCGATATATCCCTAACTCAAGGATACCTAGCATAAACAATGAAAACCCAAACATTAAATCCAGTCATGTCTGCATTTCAGACGTTGTGGGGGCGATGGGTTACTCCAAATTCAAAACTTCAAACACTTACAAAACTTCAAGCACGAGTTACATGCCAACTACAAACTCGTGCGAAGGCACTGATGAGTACCCAGGCTTTTTTCCGACTTATCTTTTGAGAGTGTCAAGTTTGAGGCAGCACTTTCCTTGCGATTGTAACTCCTAGTTATACAGGGTGTATCAAAAAAAGCGCAATCCTCGACTGAAATGTAAATTGCTAAACAAATAATAGACGAAAACGTTAAAGTTTACATTCATTTTAAAGCGTAGCCATTCCTCTTTCTAACAGTGGGTTGTTTTTTAAATTTGACTCATTGGTTCACGGGTAATAATACTTTACGTTATTGCGATTGGAGATTAAAAAAATTGAGATGGAATGACTAAACGTTCTCATGAAAATAACTGATTTTTTCATTAAAACAAAAAAATGTTGCATTTTATTAAATGGATTGTAACAATAAGTATAATTACGGCTTTTCTTCCACTATTTTTAAGTCAGTTTGAAACTTCAAATGCGATATAATATTGGCTTGGACCATCTAAGCTGACTGACATCAACTTGCTATAATTTCTGTTTACATTACATCGCAATTCGATGACACTCTGGCTCAGACACCAGAATGTTTTGACGATTTTTAGCATTCGTTTAGGATTTTCAAACAACCTGGTCTCTTTTAAAATACTATTAATTTGTTCATATACGTGGTTTTCCAGATGTAGTGACGGCAACATTAAAGTTTAAAGAAGAAAATTCTAACATTTAAACCGACTAAATAATAACATAGTAAATTTGCATAATTAAACAGCAACTAAAAATGATAGGTTTTACTAAATCTTTTCCTGTGCAATTATTACTAGCATTGGAGACAAGGATAATAGTTTGTTTGAAAGAGAAAAGAACAGGCTTTGAAGTAAGCCTAAAAGCGTTTAACTAGAAATAGTATTTCGAAAGTTATTAAGCACAAAAGATGAATTGCGCTTATTTTGATACCCTGTAGTAATAACGTTGAACGCAAAAAAGCTAAATACAAAGATCTAATTGAAGATCAAAGGGGTCACTTTAATTCTGCTAAATTTGTAAACCTATCAATGAGCTCTCTCGGTGTGTTTGACAAAGAATGCTTCACCTTTTTAGAAATGTTAGACACTATAGGAATGGATAAAAAGCAGCAACATTACTGCATAAAAAAGATGACGTCTTATGACATTAGAGCGACGTACTATATTTTTTTGCTGTCGAAACAAAGAGTGGACAAACCCTGAATTGTTAAACATTTAAATTAATAACTACATATAACAACATATATAATCATATACCCATTTTATTCTTGTTTTTACTGTAAATAGAACATATGTAGTACTCTGTGATTCATGTAGCCAATTGTAAATTACCTAAGTCAGTAGTGAGATTTACAATTGTATATATACGTAAAAAATACAATAAAGTTTCCATTATTATTATTATTATTATTATTATTATTATTATTATTATTATTATTATTATTATTATTATTATTATTATTATTATTATTATTATTATTATTATTAATGGTTTATTATAAAATCATCGCGCTCGAAAGCGAATTGCGAAGTTATTTACAAACTTTAGTTAAAAATATTAAAAAGTACTTGTGTTACAGGCATTATATTACAACAATTGTTTACTGATCTATGAATTAATGTCGGAAGATAAAAGTACTTTTATATTTACAAAATTTACAAAATTTACAAGTTATGTGATTGAATACACATAGTAGGAAAAAAGCTTTTCACAAAGCCTTAGTCACAAAGTCTTACCACAGTTAATAGAAATAGGATGGTTTGGAAAGCCGGCGAACTTCAAAGAGCGGCCGCAAATATGTTGCGCCACAAAGGAAGTGAAAGTCACGTGTCAAATAGTGTGCATGCTCTCGAGCGAAGTACTTAAGTAGTCAAACCCCACTACAACTTTTTTCTTAGTTTTTAAAGAGATCAATGTGAAAATATCATAGTTTGAAAGGGAAAAGAGAAATGGAAAGGGAAAGAGAATTGACCCATTGAAAAAAATTTTGGGAAAGACATTAATTACACTAATTATCCAATATGGCGGCCACTAATTAACGCATAATTGCAAAGAATCGGAAACATCATAACTCAGGAACCAATGAACCAAATTTAACGAACAATATATTTTTAGAAAGCTTGGAGAATGAACTAGTGCCTAAAGCTCTTCAATTTTGTTTAAAATCCTTTAAAAAAAAATTGAGCCAAATTTTAAATATTTGAATAATTTTATTAATAAATTAGTGCCTTTGAGGAAGCAATTTGGAAATAATTCATCAATGATAAAAAATATCAATATCTGAAGATAATAATGTTATTGAAAGTAACCACACCAAGTATCAATCTAATACAGCTAATATTTACAAAATTATGATGTCACAAAGATCGATGATACCTGAGAAATAGCAAAAATGAGAAAATTGAATTGAAAAATTTGCTTTAATGTCAATGTACCTTAAAAAGTGTTAAAAGCTCCCAGCTTCATAAACCACACCTTCTTTCTCTTCTATGTCATCAACAAAGTTTTTCCTGAGATGCCTCAATGTTTTTCTTCTACTTTTTACTGTTTCCTTGCTCTTTTTGGCCGACAGCTCAATTCGTGATTGGTCACAATCTTGACAACCTTGTACAGTAAATGAACCAGGCTTGATATCTAAGTCTTCAACAATCTTTAGAAAGGAGATGTCCCCATCATTAAATTTCACGACAGCCAAATATGTAGACAGAGCTACAGTTTCATGTTCCACATATGTGGTTTTGGGACAGCGAGCCCAAATTAGGCCATTTAGACACTCATTGACATTTTGTGTCATTCCATGAGTGCATTTTTGGAGCAATTGAGGTTGGCTTAGTTCATCAAAGATTGGTTTAATTTTCTTGACAATGCACTCAGGGATACCATTCTTGTGTTTGTACGATTCTTCGTCCCTCTTGTATCCGCACCAACTGTCTTCGCCATTCGGACAAAGATGTTGCTGAGGGTTTAAATCTGTCGAAGCAACATGGTATAAACTTGCTTTAATCGATTTGGCCATTTGGTCTACATCATCCAAATTCTCCCTCACAGCAAGTCCATAATAATTTTGCAAAACATCAATATTTCCATCAGTCAATCTTCCTTTGCCTCCTAGTCCTTTCCCATCAGCCAATTTCAAACCTTTATTTGCACTTTTTAACTTGCGCAACCTGCTGCCAACCCGTTTTTGGACATGACCAATGCACTCAAATTTCTTGGGTATACATTCATCTCCATAAGGCTTGCTCTGAACAATTTTATAATATGTTGCTGAGTCCCCATCACCAAGCATGTCCTTATATTGTAGACCCCGTGATATGTATGACCTTTCAAAAATCCGCAAAGCACCAACTGTTTCCATGGAGTTAGCACTCCCAGTGTGGTTTATTTTACACCGGTGGTTTGCCTTCCATTCTTGGTATTTTGGATCATTTTGTTTCTTTTGCCATTTCTGGCATGCTTGACACTTGTCGGAGAGTACTTCGACATCCAGAACTTTCTTGGTATCCAGGCTTATTGCGGTAACAACACCATTGTGTGACACATGGCCCCGTCTTTGCCAAGTACCATCAAGGGAAATCCCACATTCACCTTTGTCATTTCTACAGGAATTTTTGACATTCATGGCATTGTTCATCATACTATCATTCGCTACCTGTTTAACAACAGGCAATAACTTTTTGTTCTGTATTTTGGTAAAGTTACGACGGGTTGGTGGTGATGGCATGTTCATAAGTTTGGTGAAAGTCACCATAGCATTATGGCCTCTGCCAATCTCTCTAAATGCAAGGACAGCCAGTAGCGTAGCTAGGAAAAAATGTTTGGTCATGCTATTGGCTGAGTGGCAAGCTCACGAGGCGCCACCATGGTTGGGGCCGAGCGAGAAAAAAATTTAAAATTAGGGCCTCTAGATTGTCGGAAACGGCCTTTTCAGACATTTATCTATTCATATTCATACAAAACATTTGGGCAATTTAGCGTCACTCAAACTTAATTTCCTGCTTTCTGCGCGGTGAAACGTATGGAAATTCCGCAAATTCATATAATAAACTCCATACAAAAAGCAAAACAGCTTCAGGAAAACACAAAAACATTTTATTTCAGCATGAACAGCATTACTAATTACATTACAAATAACTCAAACGAGTTATTACTGGCTCAGATTGGGTGCAAACTGCAAACAATAATCAAAAAGTTATGATGCTGACCTAGAACGACACTCATCATTCCCAACGAAAAAGAAGTACATAAAATACAATAAGCCATAGACTAATATGCAAATGCGAGACAAACTTTCTGTACCGGTGAGGTGAAGACTGGTGCAATTTTCTGTGCAAGTCTAATTAATATAGAATAATAGAAATAGTGAAAGAACAACATGGAATTATGTGTCACCACATGTCATCACGTCATGAGCCACCACATTTGAGTGGATATTTGCCATATAACACTGGTCATCTAATAAAAAAATAAAACTTATAGTAAAAGAAATATATGAAATTATATTTTGGAGTTACCACATTCAAGTGGTTATCTCCCAAAAAGAGTTACAGTATTTCATGGACTCACCACATTTGAGTGGACATTTCCCTTATAACTCTGGTCATCTAATAAAAAAATTAATAGACCTCATAGCAATAAAAGATATGAAATTAAATTTTAGGGTGACCACATATTCAAGTCAAGTGGTTATCTCCTCATGCAGGAAAAGTTATATCATGAGCTACCACATTTGAGTGGATATTTCCCATATAAATCTGGTCATCTAATAAAAAAATAAAAATTATAGCCAGTAAAATATGAAATTATATTTTGGGGTCACCACATTCAAGTGGTTTAATATCTCCCCAGGAAGAGTTGTATCATGGGCTCACCCCTTTGAGTGGATATTTCCCTTATAACTCTTGTCATGTAAACGAAGTTATATTTTGTGGTCACCACATTCAAGCCAAGTGGTTATCTCTCGAGGAAGAGTTATATCATGGACTCACCACATTTGAGTGGATATTTCCCTTATACTGCAACTCTGGTCATTTTATTAAAAAAAATAATAGACCTTATAGCAAAAGCAAGATATGAAATTGTATTTTGGGGTCACCACACTTAAGTCAAGTGGTTATCTCCCCAGGAATAGTTATATGATGAATCACCACAGTTGAGTGGATATTTCCCCTATTGCCTGTATTCTAGCTCACTAACACTCAATGAGTGGAGGTTCAATCTGAGCTTCTCTTGAGTGCCATTGCTGTTTTGGCAAAGCTGGGGAGTTAGTGTCGAACCTTACTATGTGACTACTCACCCTCCACCTATTCAAAAACAACATTGACACTCAAGGTAAGCTCAGATTAAACCTCCACTCATTGAGTGTGAGTGAGCTTTTACAATACAGGCGTATAACTCTGAAATTGGTAATTATGGTAAAAGAAATATTAAATTTTATTTTGAGGTCACCACTTTCATGTAGATATTTCCCCTATAAATCTAATATTCCCTGATATAATTTCAAGGGATTATAATAATGCACCTATCAATGGTAAGCCCCTGAGGGGGGTCGAGCATATGTGGGGTATTTTATAATCAATTGCATCCCCACCCTGGGGATTTTGATTAGCATTTTGGGCCTGAGTTGAGGCCCATCATGGGTGTAACCCAGGTTGCTTGTCACTCATTTTGTAGCTGCTTTGTCGCTTATTTTATTACAATAAATGTCACTGTCACTTTTGACCCATAACACAAATCACAATTTCTCGCTTTTTCCCGGTCAGAAGCTGTCGTTTTTCACTCTTTTGTACATAGTCCGTTGCCACCCTGTCGGTCATAACCCCTTGGTGGGCCTCTGAGTTAGGGCAATGTGAGCCAAATGACTTTTGTTGATATAGTATTTATTGCAATTTATTGCAAAATGGTGAAGTATTTGACCAATATTTATTGCCCGACGGTGGGGCATTTGATTGAAAATTTGCTCAAAGAATCAAATGCCCCAGTACCCCACATATGCTCTAACACCCCCCCCCCACCTCTGGCGCTTATTAAACATTGATAGGTGCATATTTAATATGGCCAGCAAAACATTGCCTTCTTGGTTATACAGTAAAACTACCACAAAGCCAATCTTTCTTTGTGTATCAACTCTCCTGAGAGCTTCTATCTCCAGTGATCGATTGTAAATTCGGCATTGGCCGTTCTGTTACAATTATATTTTGCTCGCCTTATTGACGAGCAGAGAATTTAAGGTTTCTTCAGCATATCACTTATAATATCTGCCTCTGTGGAAGCCGTCACGCTTCCTGAAGCCATTAAAATGCAAATTAATACAATGCGAATTCACTTACCTTGATCAGTTGACACCTGAACGGAGTATTCGACTAATTCGAGCGTGAATTTACTGAATTATCTCGAACAGAAAGACTGTATCAAAGGACAAAGGCTCTGGGACAAAGGCTCAAGTCATGCTCTGGAAAATGAGCATGACTATATATTGCAAAACAGCGCGTTTGAGCATGCGCAGTTGCCATTATCCAATCAGATTGCCAGTATTTCTACTATAAAATATATTACTTGGTCATGCTGATTTCAGAGGGCATGACTAGACCGCGAAATGCGTGGAACATACTGTACACACGAAATTCACACGAACTCGCCATGTTTGTTGCTAGGTAACCTATGCAAATGAGCAATATTTTGCCGAAAATGACATAATATAGCGAAATCTTGTCTAAAGTACTTGTGAAAATTTCGAAAAGCTAAAAGATTTGAATTTGAATTTTAGCGGAAAAAAATTCTTTATTTTGGGGGAAATTTTTGGTCATGCTCAGCATGACCGCTAGCTACGCCACTGAGGACAGCTCTCACATTTACTTCAAATGATGGCCCTTGTTTTTTCGAAGTATGGAAGCAGTATTTCCAGTCACATTCAGTATGTTCACATTCTAGTACAATATAATGTGAAAAGCCATGCTTCTTCTTCATGTCAATATGAGAAGTCATTTTGTGTCCACATTCTGGGCATTTTAAGACTTGATCAAACACGCCAAATAAAACTGACATGTCCATAAATAAGGTGCCTTCTTTGCCAGAATCCATTGAACCAGAATTCTCGCCAAACTTTCCCTCCACATCGCCAATCTTCATCTTAGAAGGCCCAGCGTTTTGATCACATGGTTCGCCATCTTTGAATTTTTTAGCACTCTTCTGCCAAGCGCCTCTTGCTCGTTTTCTCTTCCTATTGCGAGGATTTCCCATATTTTTATAGGAAACCACAAACAATAACTAAATCTAACCAATATTTAACAAACAGAAGTAATTTTCGATGAAAATATACAGGAAAAACGAACAATTTCGAGCAGATGTTTACAGCCAGTGTGTCAAAGACGATCGCGATTTTGCTATGCAAATATATGTGATCGCGCATGCTTGTAAAATGAGCCAATCAAATTGCAGCTTACAAAAAATCTTTAAATACCATACACGAAAAGTAGAAACCAGAAAAGATAGTTCATAGCTGAACAATTCGAAGATATATGGGTGAAAAGTCGTTGCTAAGGAGGAAAATTTGTGTAACCACAACTTTAGAAGCATTTTTCGCATTTAAAAATTAAACATTTCGTGAAAGTGATTTGAAATTCTAAAACTACACTATTTAAAATACCTAAAGCACACAAAATCAAAATTTTGAAAAAATATTGATAAATGCCTAACAAAAGGGATATGACTACCAGTACTTAAGATTATTAATGCGTTCAACAAAAATCTTATAAAAAAGTGTTTTTAAAAGTACGATAGAGCTGAAATTGAAATGGAGGAAACTTCTGAGGGAGTTTTGGAAGAAATGGAAGAAATAACGTCGAGTGTAAAGCCGTCTGGCCCATCGTCGAGCAGCGAGAAACTGACAATGTTATTCGATGAAGATGCTTTCCACATGAATATTGAGATTGAAATTGTTGAAAATGACGACCTATCGGTGGAAAATGAATTTATAAACGCGTTGAACGAGATTGATGGTCTTATGGTTTATCCTTGCCATATGTGTAACACGATTTGTAAATCGAAAGGCGGTTTGACAAAGCACAAAAAAATCAGAACATGTCGACGATTTTTCTGGCTCCTCTGAGGGTAGCAATACAACACCACTCGATAAAAACACCGTAAACTCGATCGTTAACACAATAAAGCAAAACATTATCGACGAAAAATTGTATGGAGACGAAATAGAATCCTCTATTAAAAATGTTACTGCGACAGAAGCACTCTTCAACGAGGTTGAGCCTTTATACTCAAAATTTTGTAAAAACAAGAATCAAGACAAACTGCTAAAAATCTTTCTATGGTTTACTGCTAAAGTCAACGACTCTTCTTGATTTGGCAGACTCTCGTATTACCAAACTTGTAATGATACATATTTCAGACCATTTAATATGATTCCATAATATAAGTGGAAGAGGTGATGCTTCAGTCACCACCACTGAGAACACAACAAAAGAATGTGAAAAGATTGAAGCATGTGAAATGGGACCTCTTTCCTATATTGCTGGATATGTTGTTAGGAAGTTAACGAGTGCAAGAAGGAAAAAGATTGAGTCAGAGAACACTGAACTCCAAGTCAGTCGGAGCAAGAAAATAACAGCTTCATACAAGCTCGAAACAGAGGCGATCTTGTCAACCCATCAGATTACCCCATAGGAATTTTGCAAGAGGCCGAAATAAACTTTCGTAGAGAGGTTAACAAATCAAAGGAAGTCCTCAGAAATATCCCAGTGGATGTGATTTGTTATAAAACTATTAGCATGCCCATTGTGAAATCATTGTGGGATAATGTTGTGGTATCATCTGGAGTTAATCCATCTGGTGACACACAAAAGTTGTGTTTAGAAAACATTGTAAAACTTTTTTTGAAAGTAGTCTCATATGCCAGAGATTATATTACTCAATATAAAATTAGAGAAAAACAAAGGAACTCTAAGGCATTGCGAAAGGATTTGAAGAACAGTGAATTAAGTTAAAATACACTTTTAAGCAGACAATTCAATACAACTTTTAGTTACATGAACAAAATAACCACACAATGTTAACCTTTAAGTGGCAATGCACTCTACTTTATTATTTTACTCTGTCTAATACAAATAATGAATGTTTATGAGTGCAATGGTAAAAATATTTTCATTCGGTGAAAGGTGGAATGTTCCATTCAACGAGGCTCCGTGTTAAATGGAACATTCCATCTTTCACCGAATGAAAATATTTTTACCATTGCACTCATAAACATTCATTATTTGTTTTAAATAATACCAGGATAGACTAATATATTCGTATGAGAAGCATTTTGACGGATTCGATTTATTTGTACACAAAAAGTGCAATGGAATAAAACGTATACCGTAAACCTCCAAATATAAGCCCCCCTCCCGAATATAAGCCCCCCGTGTATAAGCCCACCACATGTACTAACGCTCACCTCATTCCAACTACAAGCCCCCCTCCCCGAATATAAGCCCACCCGAATGTAAGCCCACTTGTTTATCACTATTGTTTATCACTATTACCCATAGATATCTCATATCTATGCCATTACCACTATTAATCGCTATTATTACAATAGTATGCTTGTTTAGCACTTGTTTATCACTATTACTATACTTGTTTATCATTATTACACTAACACAAGAGATCTTTCATGTATAAGACTCCCCGTATAAGCCCATCAAAAATCGCTTACGAAAGAATATAAGCTCACAGCTTATATTCAGAGGTTTACGGTAGTACAATTGCACATGCAATATCATGTGACCATAAACAGCCAATTAAACGATCAAAATTCAATAAGGTATTATATAACACCAGATGATTTCAGTGGCGTGCTGGCAGGGGCGGCCGGGGGGCCACGACCCCCCCAGCTGGCAATTCTTGGGGGGCGCAAAAATGAAAATGGGGCGCCGAATTTTGAAAGTGGGTGGGAAAAAACACATTCTCGAAAAGATATGTTTACTTCCGCCAAGAAAAGACGTGTTCATAGGCTACAGTATAAAACAGACTAAGTGCATAGGCGACATATATTAAATTACAGACTATTTTGCCTGACCGTATTTGCTACCTCACAGCTCACACGAAATCGTTCATATAAAAACATGATCAGTGATCACAGGCAATGTCTCATTACCGGAATATTGGTCAGGTTTCGATCGAAGCGATCACGGGAATTATGCCCTTTTTGCTGGTATTATGCCCTTATAATATGCCCTTTATTATGCTTCACGAATCACGAGGGCGGCGCAAATTAGATAGTTGAAGTTATGAGAACTGATGTAAAGTTGTGTACGGAATTTAGTTTGCACAAGAAGCATGAGTAATGTAAGTAATGAAATAATGCTGAAACATGCCCTTTGGGCAGCCAGGCAAAGGAACCTTAAAATGCATATGCGTGGGGTGCGTGTGTTATTGTATCTAAAGAGCTTTAAGTTGTAAATGTACTCAGAACAGTAGATCAGTAGAGAACAGAATTGGGATTAAATTAATCGCTGGAAGTAGTTAGCATTGCATAATTTAAGTAACTAAATTCTAACCAAATTGCAAATTTCGACACGTTATAATGCCGTTTCCTGACCATCCGATTTCTGTCAAATCTTCCCCCAAAGTCCAGGAAATGGCATTTCAGAGACTCTAAATTCAAAAATTCTGGGGGCATGCCCCCGGACCCCCCTAGGCAAACCTCGCACCTGCGGCACTCGGCTCGTGCCTTCGGCCCTCGTTTATCAAGTGTAACATTATAGGGGCGCATATTGGTTGACAGCCCACTGGCCCCTCCAGAAAAATAGTACCCAGCACGCCACTGGATGATTTTACTCGTCAGGGGGAGAGTGCTGCCACTCAATAGGTTAAACCAAACTTGTAAATTATGTCAAATTTTAAATTAATCTGATTTTTGTAAATATATGCATATGTTTGAAAACTACAAGCGTAAGCAATCTCATTGGGTCATTCCAGAAAGATCCCCCAAGGAAATTTATGAGAGGTGGTTAGGAAAAAGTGTCATTTTCCACTGCTAAGCATGAAAGGAAACAGAAAAATGTGTTCACACACATTTATAGAAGTAATGTATTATGCAGGTCAGGACATTTTTGTTGTTGCTCACAGTAGATTGGCATATTATATTTTATTTGTTGTTAGCAAGCCATCGTGTGATAACTTATATGTTTAGCCTATGGCTGATATTAGGATATCCAATGGGAGGGAGGTGTATTTGGCTGGCACTTGCATCTAAACACTTTTAGAGTTTCAGTAAGGTAGTTCTCAAACAGTAACAAGGGGAGCTTTCAATGTGGGGGGAGGGAGTTGGAGAGACATGTACATGTGAAGAGCAAACTGGGGGTTAAAAGGCTTGCAGAGTTGGGAGTTGAAAAGCCATGCAGGGCCTGGGGATTAAATAGCTAAAGTGCATGGAGTGTACAATTCTACAAAACATTAAATGTTAACAGACTAGCTTGGACAATTCCTTTATATTCATCTACATATTTTATACTTATAGCAAAGTTACTTCATGAAACATCAGAATGGTCTAAAGTGATCACCAAGAGATTATCAAAATATATTTGAATATACCAAAGTTCCCAATAACATTCCAGAAATTTCAAGTATATGTACAAAGATAAATGAAAGCTAAATGCTATAAAAATTATGAACTATGATTATGCTTCCCCACCCAAATTCAGTTTCTATGTACAGTATCTACCTTATAGAATATGTATTATTATTGGATATTCGTTTCTTCAGTTCTGGTGTAATCGCTCTGGTTCTGAAAATATTTTCAAGCCATTTCTCCCGAGTTTCCTTTTTTATTGACGACTTATATTCACTTTCGTGCGCGCTTATGACTGGTATTCGAAACAATGAAATTTGGTGCTTTTGGCTTGTTGAACAACCAAAAAAAGCACAATTACGGCCAGGCATAGCTTTAATACTTTATAGTTAGCTAACGAAATTCCCAACAGATGACCAACAGATATTATATTGATGTTATTTCAATGTAAATTAGGTGGTTCGTGATATGTATTATTACGCCATTTTTAAAATGATGCACACTATTTGACAAGTGACCCTTCCAAGCATGGATCAAAGACATATTCCGAAACTCCGCCCACTTTCCAAACCATCCTATTTCTATTAACTGTGGTCTTACAAGAAAACAGTGTTAGTCTATTTCCGTACCTTAAATTGCAATTGTGTTCATTGGCCCGAGAAGGTGGTATTAAATGATTAAGGCGTGAATCAGGCTGTCTCATTTTGTCAAAAGTTTTTATACACAAAGCATCACCTCTTGCGCGTAATGTCGAACATTTAGCTTGGTCCAGAGCAGCGTCATAGCTTAATGTAGGATAGATTATTAGCATTGTGCGCTTCTGTACCCGTTGATGGTCACTGATGAATGCCATACCGGACAGCAGTACTCGAGCAGGGATCTAATAAGTGCAAAATGTACTCCTAGTAAATGAAACGGTGAAACTCCACTGCGCTTGAGAACTCGTAAGATGTGTAGTCTTTTTGATGCTTTGGTTACTATCTCACTGATATGCTAATCCCACTTCAGATTATTCTGGATCGTTAAACCTAATACTTTGTGGGATTCTATTCTTTCAAGACTAATGTTTTCAACAAATAAGGTGGGTGGTGGCTGCTCAATAACTCGTCGAAAGGAGATAATCATCTCTTTACACTTTTTGGGGTTCAATTTCATATTATTGGTACTTGTCCAATTACCAATTGCGTCCAATTCGTTTTGTAGTATAGATACCTCCCTCGTTGGGACAATCTCAGATATCGTCACGTCGTCTACGTACTTTCAATTACTGGAACGCCGGGAGACTATTTTCAAATCATTAATCATTATGACAAAAAGGATTGGACCTAATTTGGTACCCTGTGGGACCCCAGCACTTGTTGAAAGCCATCGGGACACGCACTGTCCCAGCTTGACACATTGGCGGCGATTTGAAAGGAAGCTACAAATCCAAGGGATTATTGAACGGCGCACTCCCAAATCGATCAATTTTGTTATAACAATATTGTGGTCTATTCTATCGAAGGCTTTGCTAAAGTCCAGAAAGAAAACTCTAAGGTAATGACCTGGGTTGTCCATTTTAGAAAGCCAGTTGTGGAATAAGATCTAGGAGACAAATGGTGGTAGATGTTCCCTTCAGGCTGCCATATTGACGATTATCGATTTGTGCACCTATGTCCTCAACCATCCAACTAACCACAAAGTTTTCGAGTACTTTCGATAACACAGGGGTAAGTACGATGGGGCGGGTATCGCTCCCAACCTGGGTTTGTTTCGCTTTAGGAATGGGTATCACTGCATGAAAAATTGGATTTACCACTATAGGAAACACAGAGTAAACTTGAGATAATGCCGCATTTGCTCATATTTACGAGCAAATGCGGCATTATCTCAAGTTTACTCTGTGTTTCCTATAGTGCTAAATCCAATTTTTCGTCCAGTGTATGATGCTAGAATCTTTCCATAAAACAGGTACTAGTCCAGAGGACAAAGATGTATTAAATATTGATGTAACTGGCTCAGCAAGCTCGTTGGCGAACTCTTTTAAAATTCGTGGTGGAATACTGTCCGGGCCCATAGCCTTATCAGTCTGAAGTTTTAAGAGCTTACTACAAACCTCATGAGGATGAATTGTAGGAGGCGGCACCGCAGCTGGTAAGAATGTTGGAAGGCTTGAAATATCAAGTGGTGGGATATCACTTGCTACACTTACGAAGTAATCATTTAGAGACTCTGCCAGTTCACCTTCCGATAAAAACTGTCCGTCACGCGCAATTGTAAACTGAGGTTGACTTTTCGCTCGACCTGACATTGTTTTAATAGTGTGCCACCATTGACGGACATCGCCTTTTCGCAAGTTATGGATTTTTTGGGTATAGAAATAATTTTTCCTGGTTTTAATTTCTATCTGGACCCTCCGTCTGTATTGGCGCCACAATTGCGCGTCGCCAGTGTGGAAAGCACGTTGGCGTTCTTTAATAAGTTGCTTTATGTGCCCAGTAATCCATGGTTTGTCCGTGGGATGAAATTTTATTGTGTTCACTGGAAAAAAATGATCGAATGCAGTGTTCATATCATTGGTAAAAGATGACGCTAACTCATCCGACGATGGATTGAGTCCAAGTCCACTAAACCATTTATTCCTGGTTGACCATAAACCAAAACCATTCAAACCTGACTGAGGATACCGACGCACAGTTCGCTTTGTACACGTATTATTATTATCCTTAAAAATGTCTTTTGGGATCCACATAATCGTGAATGTCTTTTGGCATCTCTCGCCCCGGAGGCTCGTCCAATTTTGGCAAAATTTCCAGACATCACTCGTACTATTAATCCCTAATTCTTCTCGCCATCGCATGATTATACCTATACAAATTTACAAAAACATTAATTATATAGCAAAGTACATATATGCCGATATGAAATAAATTTAAATTACATATAAATAAACTTAACGTTTTTAGAAAGGAAAGAAATAATAGCTATATATCAAGAAAAGGGAGAAAAGTAGGAGTTTTAAAATCAAATAATTTTTACATTAAACAATCGAAACTAGAAATTCAACGAATGTCTTTTTCTAAAGTTGGCGCAAAATGGTGGAATGAGGTACCATCTTGCATAAGAGAATTGCCATAAAAAATCATTTAAAGTGCCCCTGACACAAAAATTTTTTTTCAGTCTATTGAAAGTACTCATTTAGTATAGTGTTCTAGCGAAAGAATTTTTCGATTTCATCAAAACGAAAAATTTTTAGAGCTATTTGAATCCAAATATTTTTGGCTAATGGCCGTCGGCGACAGAAGTCTGGCACTAGCATTTATTCTGACGTCACGCAAGTGAGTCGAATCTTTGATGCCTGTTAAGTTAATCTGTTTTAATAATGTTTTAAGCTCGAAGGTTTTGATCGCTGAAGTGTTTAACTTTTTATATTCTAAGTTCTATAAAGTATCATATCAACAGAATCAGTCCGATGATTCCGGAGCGAATTTTATACCTGGTTAATATGTTGTATTGAAAGATGCTGATCTGTAGCTGCATCTCGTCAGGTCTCTAGTGGTATCATTAATATTACCAAATCTGCGACGCGGACGTGACGAAAAACTGCCGCTATTATCACAGTTTCACTTCACGGATAAAAACTGTTGTTGGTAAACAAAGTCAGGGACACGAGAAAAACAAAGTAAAACTAGTCTCCCATTTATGTTAGCGATTGTTTTTTAGTCGCGCCATGTCTCAGATTTGGCGCATCTTTAATAAGCTTCCTACTAACGTAGACGTTCTATGACTTTGCAAGGTTCATATCTCCGGTTCGGTGCATGCTATGAAGACAAAATTACTACCATTCGATTCAGAGAAACAAAATCTCCTTATTTCTAATGATAGTTTTAGTCAAATATAGTTTTACTCAACTTATAATCAAATAGCTATTTATGACCTTTGGTCTGCCTTTGAGAGGTCAAGCGGTGTCATAATTCATTATATTACTCAATTAGTCTCGAACAATGTAAAGTAGCCATACATTTAGCCGACCCTTTGGACATAGAATAAAGATCCATATAGAAGGGCCACTTACGTCGGAAGCTTTGAAGTTTCTGTCCTCGCGCATGTCGCATTACGCATGTTGGCCGCCATTTTCCTAGCCAGTCAATGACATTTTCTGGCCAATAAACACGCTGTACTGGCTGGCTGCTCCGCCTTCTGGCCAGTAAACTGCATATTTTTGCATAAAAAAACGAGGACACGTTGCACCCCTGAGTGGCCCTTCTATATGGATCTTTATTCTATGCTTTGGACATATCTTTTTCGTAATAGCTTTATTCGAACCGGAATCCAAAACACTATTTAGAGTGTTATTTTCAAGCTTGTGTCTTCAGATTTGCATCTTTTATTTCGGTATTACAAAATATTTATATTTTTAGCTGGCCGCAAAACCGAAATACAATTGCAAATTGAATCATCAAAACAAAGCAAATCATCGTCAGTCTTTATTAACTTCAGATAGTTAGGCTTGCCAAGCCCCGGCAACGAAAAAATTGCCTCTCGTAATCCGCTGTTCTACAATGATCCGAGCATATAGTCGAAGTCTTTGACGGCACAAACAAACGCTTTGCGCGTACAAAATCAACCCATACTTTTCTTCGTCTTTTAGCTTCCGCGTGTTCGTCATTGAAGTATGGAATATTGTGTGGACTTATTCCATCTTTTAAGCATGCTTTATTGGTACAATTAGCTGCAACACAGTAAAAAGGCATATCTTTTTCGATCACAAATCTACCTATATACCGCCGAGAGTTGATAGTGCTAGTATAGTCGAATAATAGAATATACGCCGACTCACTTGCGTGACGTAACAAAAATCGCTCGTTCCAGTTTCCTTCGAACACGGACGCCTGCCAACCAAAAGCCCAAATTTTGCGTGTTCAAACGGCTCTAAAATTTTTTCGTTTTGATGAAATCGAAAAATTCTTTCGCTAGAACACTATACTAAATGAGTACTTTCAATAGACTGAAAAAAATTTTTTGTGTCAGGGGCACTTTAAGAAAAGGATCCTACAAGGATACGTAGTATCCTTTTGCACATTCTACAGAATGAAAATGCGATTTACAAGTGTGTACATGTGACTTAAATACCGCATCGTAATTTGTTTGCGGCCTTATTAATTATTCATGATTTTACAAAATTATATATTGATTGCATTGCCTTTAGCCGCTCCCATTATGACGGTTGTGTGATTTCAATGCATGGGTTTTCTTCAGTATATGTTGGTAAACTGACAGAAGCTGCAACAAAGAAAGCTGATGAATATATTTCGATTCAAATTTATCTAAGCCTTCGAAGAGAACTTATCTAAGCCTTCGAAGATAAATTTGAATATATTTCGATTCAAATTTATCTAAGCCTTCGAAGAGAACGGAGCTCTGAATTTCGCTCCGTTGTCTTATATATTTGGCAGTTTATCGATAAGTTTATCATCAAGTTTACCATGGCCACAACGGCTAAGCTTAGGAAAGAAAATCAAGATCTAAGAAATGAGTGATTGGCGGACTGGAAGAAAAGCTGGGAAAACTTACTAAAGAAATCTCGAGCAAAACTGTCGTAATGGCCGAACAAGAAGGCAACCATGCTGCTCAGTCAACTGACAAAGATAAGTCTATTGAATTTATTAGTGCACGATACGATGACATTATTCTGTTTAAAAACTACGCGATCAAAGAAATTAACGATATGAAAAAGCAAATTAGCGCCATATCTAAGAAATGAGAAGCAATTGCGACTTCAATTGATCAAATAGAAGACTATAGTTATCAATATAACATAAAAATTGTCGTTATGCCACAGCATAATGAGAATGAATCAGCTGAGGAAACGACACAAATGTGCATGTCTAATGCTATTTGCTGCTCTGGGAGCCGATGTCTCGATACAGGATATAGATATTTCGCATCGGATTCCTGCAAGAAGACAAACTAGTCGACCGAATGCAATCGTATGTAAGTTTGTCCGTCGCTTGGCCAAAGAAAGAGTTATTGCTGCCAGAAAGCGAACAAGCAACATCAATCCACAACAACTAGGGTTATCCCCAGAGGCTCAACTCAGCAACCTTAATATTTTCGAACATCTATCCCCACGCTTACAAGAACTTTTGTTCGAAGCCAATAAATACAAACGTGCAAATAATTGCTGGACAAGGAATAAAGCTATTTGTCTCCGAAAACCGGAGAATGACAATGTTATCAAACTTGTCAACCTACAATAACTTATTGATTTACGTCAAGGACAATGCTTGTGACTTTATTATTTAGTTTTAAGTTGATGTATACTGTATGATTGTTCAATATTGTATTAATGGCTGTCAATAATTACTTTATTGATACTCAGCCGCCGCTACGCTACCTTTCACCATTTAGACGATGCAGCGTTTAGCGCAGTATTATTTGAATATGAACATGGTACATTAACCTTTGATTTTGATCGATTAGAATCTCTAATTTTCAATCCAATTGAACATTTGCCTTCTGTTATGGAAAATTCTTTTATCAATAACCTTGATCCAGATATAAATTTCAGCGAGCTTATGCCACCAAACAGTAGCTATATGGTTGAAAATGAAATTAATAACCTATTAAGGGATTCATCGGATTGCTCAGAAATGTCTTTTCCAGGGACGCCGGAACGATAATAGGGCAAAGGGGGGCGGACGCACACCAAGGGCACCTTTACTGAAAAATTTTTTTTCACTGCAAAATTTTTTGGCGACCTCCCCCCACCCCCCTCCCCCTGTCGCCAAAAAAATTGCGGTCAGTATACCATAGGGGTCAAAAAATTTTTCCGGACATACAGAAATTTTCCGTGAAGCCAAAAATTTTTCCGGATTTCTTAAATTTTCGCCATTTTTTCTAAATATTTTTCTAAATTCCAAAAATTTCCCAAAATTTTTATAAATATAAACTATAAATTACCTGAATCTCGTGATTTTCCTACAAAAAGCATCGTTGGAAAAGTGATTTATTACGTATTATTTTACAACTAAAAGGGCACTTCTGCCCCCCCCTGCCCCCCCTAGCAAAAGGCAAGGGGGGCAACCGCCCCCCCCCTGCCCCCCCCAGTTCCGGCGTCCCTGGTCTTTTCTGCATATCAGTTGTCGTAGTCTTCTTGGCAATTTTGATAAATTCAGAGTTTTAACTACTAACTTGTCAATCTCTAATCCTGAAGTAATCGAGTCTCTGTTTGTTGAAATTTTAAACCCCAATGGGAAAAACGTTATTATAGGAAGTGTTTACCGCCCACCCAATCAAAATCTTGTTTCCTTTATAAATGAATTCAATAATACAGGAATACCGAATGGTTTTCCATGCAGGATTGCGTATCCATGCACGCGGGATGTTGCGAGACTTTCGTTTCCGAAAGTCGAGCAACATCCCAAGTGCATGGATCATGCAATCCTGCACGGAAAAACCATTTGGTAATTGTTTTACAAAATTACTACAGTGAAACGACGGTTAACTTGATTAAAATTACTGATGAAATGTGCAGTTCTCTCAACAATCGTGAATTAACCAATCGGAGAATCGCTACTCCACGCTATTGAAAACAACAACAAATGTGAACAGAATTTGATCGCAAATTCGCGAAAATATACAGCGAAAAAAAAGGGGGACATTTTCGATAAAATATACGAAATTTGAAATGGAAAACCCGCTAAATAGAGAGCCAAAGTAGTTTTGAAGATTCTCGACCTAAATATGTGAAGATTGCGAAGCGTTTGGTCAACTTTGAAGCGAGAGATGTTGTACTTGCATGCCGTGGTCTGATGAATTTCAACGCTACGCGTTGCTACTTGCTGAATAGCAATGTATCGATCAGAAATGTATTCATACAACTAAACCAACGTCTCAATAATTGCAAACTTACTTCAAAGTCGAAAGGTATCGTACAATGAAACTTTTCAATGCGAGTATATCTGTAAAATTATGTGCAAGAATTTCTGTTCAGAATTTCCCGTGCAGGATTGTCTGATCCTGCACGGCTGTTGACCAATCAAATTGCGTGTTTCACTGTAGTTATTATATAAAATTCTTTCAATTATCACAAAAGACAATAAAGAATGCTACGTTATGGGTGATTTTAATTTGGATTTATTTCATTATGATCACCATGTATTTACACAAGAATTTATGGATTCTTTGTTTTCGCACATGTTCATCCCAGTGTTGTAACGAGTCACCTATAGCACAGTATAGGAAAAGTACAGTAGGGCCACTCAGCGTAAAAAAGTGTCTACATTGTTTACTGGCTGCCAACCTAATTTACATATTGGCAGCCAGTAAACGGCAGCAGTCCACTATAAAATTGTACTACAGAATAATGATTTTGGCCGCGTAAGACACCTGGAACCTAGCTTAAATAATTGCCATTTTTCTCTCCCCTAAGTGGACCTACTGGTTGTCTCCCTATACTGTGCCTATAGGTCGAGTCACGAGTCGAGTGGAGTCACTCAAAGGTCGAGTCACGAGTAGAGTAGAGTCATTTCAGTTTCTGATCGAGTCGAGTCAGTGGCTTCACTCGATTCGAGTCGAGTCAGCAGTTTCACTCGAGTCAAGTCGAGTCATTGGTTTAAGTCGGGTCGAGTCAATAGCTAGACTTAACTTGAGTCAGGGAATTTGATCAAGTCCACCCACATCCTTGTCCCCAGGGCCTCTCGGCCGTGCGCGTCCTCCCTAGGCCCTGGAACATACGGAACCGGAAGGGCAAGTAAACTTGCAGTAGTTTCTAAAGCGCATGGTCTTGAATTGGGACACTTTAGCACCCGTAACAATTTTCAAAGTGAAGTATTACGAAGAAACGAAGTATTTGCGTTGACATATGTTGATAGAATAATTTTTCCTAGCTAAAACTGCTCAACTTCTGCGAAATAGGATTTCTCTGAGAAGCCAATCAGATCTCTCGCTTTAGTCGCCTAACCCACAGCCTACTTTTCAACGAGTGACCGAGTGAAAATGGCTCTGGGGACGAGAATGGTCCACCTCACGCTTTTTGTAATGGTTCGCTACCTTAGCTTGCAGTTTGAAATTAGTAATCAAATCTACGTTTTAAGCTAATCACTTTAGTCATGTAATAACAGTATCTGGGCAGCCATAGGCTGTACCAATATCACAGTTCTAGTCAATATTAAGTACAACCACATGAGATGTCTCATCATGCCTGCTGATCGAGTGTACGTATATACAACTAGCATAACTTGCAACTGGAGTCAGAATTAACAAAGAATAGACTTTAATTAACCATGCTTTGTAAGTTAATTTGAAATTATGTAGCACTTCATAAATACCAAAAATGAAGATAGCCGGTCAAAATTAGCATAAGTACAAAAAATTTTGAGACTCCATTTTAAAAGCTGTGGCACTAGCGTTGTTTCCAAAAACAGAAATGTAATATATATAGGCATTCCCGTCAGGAATATACTGTATTCTATGCAAATCCCATATATTTTCTGATAAAGTTTCGAAGTTCTCATTGTTCACAGGGCTCATTGTTTTTCCCAAGCAACACAATCACAATAATTTTGATGAATTTATTCTCTATAAGTTGTAGCTGAGTTGACTCGAGTCATTTACGGCAAAATCAGCAAGTCGAGTCCGAGTCGAGTCATTCGGGGCTGTTGATTCGAGTCGAGTCATTTTTCGTTTTGGACTCGAGTCGAGTCGCTGAAAATGACAACTCGAGTCGACTCGAGTCCGAGTCAACGACTCGACTCGTTACAACACTGGTTTATCCCACTTATTAATAGGCCCACCCAGTTAACCAGTTACTCAGCTACACTAATTGATAACTTATTCATACACAAACTGTTTATCGCAAAATGGTGTAAATGGAATTATTCTGAACGATATTTCCGATCATTTGCCGGTGTTTGCAATTTGTAGTACCTTTACCGAATTTCAAAGAAAATTATCACAGGTTGATTTGGAATGGTGTGTTAGTAGGGCAGGATCCGAATGAAATATATGATTCTTTCGCTGCAGAATATCACCGACATTTTGACGATTGCTTCCCCCTCAAAACAATTAGGCACAATCCCTCTGGAAAACCGAAATCACCTTGGATTACCAAAGGTTTACTAGCTTCTGTTAGGAAGAAGAACAAACTGTACAAAAAATATCTCGCAATTCCTACTCCAGCGCGTGGTTCTCATTATAAGAGGTACAAAAACAAATTAAACCACTTAATTAGAATAGCGAAGAAACATTATTATGACAAAAACTTTGAATTAGCTAAAAGTGACATGTAAAAAACATGGCAATTAATTAATGAGGTTACAAATCCTAAAACCAAGAAGACTTCATTACCATCAATATTTAAATCTAATGATACAATGATTAGTTACCCTATTGCAATTGCCAACGGCTTTTGCAAATCAGTATTTCACTGAAATTGGCCCATCAATAGCTAGGAAGATTATTCCAACACATTGTTCCTTTCATGATTACTTAGGAGCGACCGCTAGCGCTAGCGAAACAATATTTCTTAAGTCAACCACCGCTAATGAACTAAGAAAGATTTGCATGTCCTTTAAGACTGGAAAAGCACCTGGTTATGATCACATACCCATGCATCTTATTAAAAGGTCGTTTGAATTAATATCCGAACCATTAAACATTTAATTAATATGTCTCTTGAAACAGGAATATTTCCAGCTCAACTAAAAGTAGCCAAAGTAATTCCCATTTTCAAGACTGGCGAAACAGATATATTCACAAATTATAGGCCAATTTCCATCCTTCAAGCTTTTCAAAAATTTATGAAAGAGTCCTCTATAATCGTTTAGTAGAATTTATTGATAAGCTTGAAATTCTTTATCAATATCAGTTTGGCTTTCGCTCAAATTATTCCACCAATTTTGCTCATACTCATCTGATAAATAAAATTGCAACTGCTATTGACAGAAAAGAAATAACTCGGTTGGCGTTTTCTCAGACTTGTCTAAAGCGTTTGACACTCTTAATCATGATATTCTATTCTCTAAGCTTGAACGTTATGGCATCCGTTGAGTTGTGTTAAATTGGATTAAGAGCTATTTTAAGAATCGAAAACAATTTGTCCAGTTTAATAATGTTTCTTCTACTCAAAAGCTTATACATGTGGTGTACCTCAAGGATCAATATTAGGTCCATTGTTTTTTATTCTATATGTAAATGATCTCCCTAATGCCTCACAATTGGCAAAGCCTCCATTATTTGCAGATGATACTAGCATCTGTTACTCACATTCGGATCCTGCAGTGCTGGTCACAGTATTACAGATACAGATACAGATATTTCACAGCACACTCCCTATATCAGGGCTTTTCAGTGACTGGTTACATTATGAATAGATAGATAGAACCGGACTGACGTGAAGCAGACCGAGGTAGACTTTGAGCTTACAAATGGCGCTTGAGCAGCTGCCGCTTTTAGTCCATACCTCATTAATGATCTGCCTCCAAACCTATGTGCCTAACCCACCCTGTCAACTTTCCCTGTGGGAGGAAACACGGAGTACCCGGAGAAAACCCACGACTTTCGGCAGAGCGTTGACTTTTACTCTTTTCACATGAGGACTGGGTTCGAGTCACATTGAGAAGGTGTCACTGAGATTCGAACCTGCGACCTTAGAGGTGAAAGGCAAGTGCGCTAACCACTTGGCCACCGAAGCCCCCAGTATTAAGCTAGAAATACATGCATGCAGTAACTCCTCGCCAATAATGTCATACATTAAACATGAAGTATTAAGAAATGACCAGCACTGAACGCAGGCTCGCGCTCAAGTGTTGCCATGACAACACGATATTCTTAAATTTTTATTTTCATATAGTTTGTACAAAACTGCAAAATAGTTGAAAGATTCGTACTTTTAGCTATACAACAATAAATTTCCGAAATATATACTGTAGGTATATTATTTTGCATTTTGTGAGCTTTGATTTAATGTAAAATTTAACTTGAAACGCTTCGTAAAATGTTTTGAAGATTTTTTGAGATAAGTGAGGATGACCACCCACTCAAGATCGTCGATCGTTGGTGAGCGCCCGCGATGATTGATGAACTTTAGACTTCGCTAATGCTTTCGTTTCCCCAGGTGTAAATAGCCGGGGGGAATTAATACCCTCGCACGGCGCTTCGCGCCGTCGGCTCGGGGATGAAGCGATACAAAATATTGACTTATGGATGAAGACTAATAAATTGTCCATTAACATTGACAAAACTAATTATGTTATTTTCCAATCTAAACAAAAGAAAATTACACAAGATTTGTCCCTCTCAATTGATGACAAATTTATCACCCGAAAACAACAGGTCAAATTCCTTGGTGTCCTGCTGGATGAAAACCTTTCATGGAAACCTCATATTAACTATGTTTGTAATAAGATTTCGAAGTCAATAGGTGTTACAATTTACCGGGCTCGTTTTAACTTGTCGTGTAGTACTAAACTATCGTTGTATTATACTTTAATTTACCCGTATCTTAACTATTGCAATATCGTGTGATCGTCTACATATGTTACTAAGCTACAACGCATACTTATCCTTCAGAAACGAATTGTGAGGTTACTGAAAAATTCTGGTTTTTCTGCTCATACTGCTCCGCTCTTTAATAAACTAAATTTGCTTGATATTTATAAGATAAACTCCTTACACACTGGCAGATTCATGTTTTGTTATCATAAAAAACACTTCCACCCTGCTTTCTCAATCTATTTAATGCAAACAAACAAGTTCATAACTATAACATGTACACAAGAAATGTCGACTCGTATCGATCTCATGCATGTAGAACTAATATAAAACAATTCACAATACTTTCTCGTGGTCCAAAACTGTGCAATTCCTTCAGGAATAGAATAATGTAATACTTATTTGATTCATGATCTTATTGATACGCTAAAGTTCCTATTGCTTGGTCAGATACTCTATATTTCTATATATCTAATTCAATTCAAAGTTTCAAGGAGACATCGTTTTCATAAGCCCTATGGTTTCTGGGTGACTCCTTGCCACTGACATCATGAATCAATAACTATATTTACTGTCTTTGTACTCTATACATAGTTATTTCTGTTCTTGAATGATATGTAAATGGTGTTGGTGGCGAATTAAATTATTATTATTATTATTATTAGTAGCGTTGGAAGTGAAATACCATAAATGTTGAAAAGTGCAACATTGAAAGAAATGTATACAGTTGGCCTACAATCAGGAGCAAAATGCCAAAAGAGAAAATTCAACCCACTGTTTCCAAAATTGATCATGGGGGCAGGGTGGAGGCCGATGTACTTTAAAATGCCAGAAATGTGAAAAGTCTCATTATTTAATTTTTGCACGCGATTGTCTGAGATGGCCGGAGCTGTCTGTGGGTTAGCTGTCCAAAATTTGAAATTTTGTCAAACTCAAGCCATCAAGGTGACATGAAGTTGACATATTTCAATCAATTAACCGAAAGATTTTTGTCCCCCAAAATGTAGAAATTCTGCAAGGAGGCTACGCGGGGGACTGGGCAAGAATAAAGAAGCTTTTCTAGCGAATTTAATTTTTTTACTTCATTTACATACTAGAGAAAAAAAAAATTTGAAAATAGACAAGCTGTAGGCTAAATACGATCAATTAAAATACTTTGCGATATAGTAAGACACATCCAATAAGCCATGAAAATCTAATGCAGTGTTTTAACTACTCTTACGTCCTTTCAACCTCAATTAGCCATCATTTCCTGAGGAGGGAGTCATTATATGACAGTTCCTCAGCTTAGCCATATGACGAAAAATAAGAAAACTTTGTGTTTATATTGCAGTATGTGCTGTTGTGCTTGTGTGATGTTCACCAGCTAATCTAAAGTGATTAGTTCATGTAAATTTTATGCACTTGGCTTGATTAAGCAAACGCTGACACGTCACACACACGTTACAATCAGAAGCAAAAATTATTGAGACAATCGCATAAATGCCCCCCTCACCCCCAATTCAATGTTGTGTGAATGACTGAAAAGAGAAAATTCAAACCCACTTTTTCCAACATTGATCATGGGGGCAGGGGGGAGGCCGACGTACTTTAAAATGGCCAAAAATGTGAAAAGTCTCATTATTTTTGCACGCGATTGTAGGTAACATTGAGAAACAACTTGCTTGATTGTAGATCAGAATGGTGCAAGAACTGGCCACCGCATGCATCAGATATTACTGGTGAAAACATTAGAAAGTTAGTATCACCTCTCTTGTTTAATTTTATGGCATGGATGTGTAGGGCCCTTGCCCTTAGTTGTACGATTACGCAAGAATCATGCGTGGGACACTCGCGGGGCAATATAAGTATAAGCAGTTGCTTCGAGTACATGCGAAACGAGTGTTATATAGTTAATATAATGAGAGGGTTTGGAAGGCCGGCAAACTTCAAAGCAACACGTGGCCTATCAACATATGAACTCGAGGAGACGCATCACGTGACAGTTGAGGTGCACAACATGGCGATTTCGTAGTATAATTCTATATTAATTCTATATTAATTGGGTTTTTTTTCGATGGTTTTACGTTTTGATAAATGTAAAGTCTTTGTCATACTTTGTCTATGCAAAAGGCAACGTTTGAGACCTTTTTATGTTCCATTGGCCAATCTGCTTCCGCTGTATATAATATCGGCGGGGTGCCAGGATCATATTTCAAGTCACCTAAATATTAGTTCATCTTGAGACAGCAAAATCTCTTCGAAGAAGAGTTACGCGTTAATAACATGGATATAGACGATGAAAATGAATCAGAATGTCCTGTATATAAGCCTTTGTTCCGATTTTGAGCAAACCATGGAACTTCTCGAGCACTCGCTTGAAGAGGTAATTAAGTAATGCCGGTAGTTAAGTTTCTTTTAAAATATTTCATAGTACACGTTACGTTCTCTAAAACCTTAATATTTAACTTTCTCTCCAGGTTGAAGGAAAGAAGCAGTTTCCTTGCAGCTTCTGCGAAAGGGTATGCAAGTAAGTCAAAAGGTACCCTGGCCCAGAGGTTTTTTTAGGTTTGGTGAACGCGAAATGCGAGAAAACGCGCGAAGAAAAAGGAAAAACCTCAGGTGAATTTGTTAGCGATTCCTGGTTCGGATAAAGAATGCAAAAAATATATAATGGATTAATGCATCATATTCTAAAAATATTATCCAATCATTATCCTTGACACCAGGCCGTCTAGACAGGGTTTTATCGCATGTTTACTGTCCAGTGTATGCCTGCTCATTTGTAGCAATATTCATTCTCCTGAATTTCATTCAATTTAAAACATCACATCTATTCAATTTAATATAAATATATATTTATATTCATTCACTTTAATCTTGCAATATACATTCAATTTAATCCTGCAATATACATTCAAAAAAATCTGTATTTTATAAATTTATTAAACACACCTCTTTGGGCCGACGTGAACTTTGTCTGTTAATACAAAAGCAAGCAAATTTGTCTTGTAGATTTCAAATGAAACCATTCCTCTCCATTTTGCATTTCGAATAATAGACTCGGGATATTCTCGGGATTACAAAATGCGAATGTAAACTCTCCATCTAGTATTGCTTTCTCGTCCTCTTCGTTTGACGGTGAAGTAACACGGCATCCACGCTTTCTTAGTTCACGGACGTGAGAGTCAATGAAAGAGTTCAATTTGCAAATGACTATTAAGATGGGTTTCTCCAGAAAATTGTGGCTTTTGCCAAGTCGTCGTGCTACTCTCGGTGTTAGAACTTTGGAATATTAAACTCTAGCTTCCCATAACCGATAGCAAGATGCAAATACATCTTTAATGTGAATCAAATTGGACAAGGCGCGGTATTGATGCTTCGTTAAACTTTTAATTCAGGAAATTTATCAATCTATCTATTAATGCAGCCTATAGAACTGCTTCTTTCAACTTTTGTTCGTTTATTTAATAATATAGACATTAAAAAATTCAAATGTTTCAATTCAATCAAAACACGAAACGCCTGCGAACAGGCCATGATGTTTACAATATCCAATCAGAACACGTAGTCTATCGAACCTATAGTCAGCAGCCAATCAACTCTTTGCTTCCATTTTTGAAAGTTATGTGTGGAATGTGAACCCGAAAACTACGACAATTTCACCAGAGAGTTATTCAAAACAGGCGAAAATAAATACCCTCTGGTTCCAGGGTAGTCAAAAGGTGGCTTGACGAAGCACCAGCGAAGTAAACATGTGGAACAATTGGATGAGAGTTCATCTTCGTCTGAAATTGACAAATATGTTATATCAATGGAAAACACATGCTCTATTATCCGCGACATCGGTCGACACTTAGTTGACGAGAAACAAACAGCAGAGTTTTTTAAGCTCAATCCAAGTGAATCATTTGTCAGCTTTGTCAATCAACTCTTACTGACATTTAAAAAGAAACGAAATCAAGACAGATTTCTTAAAGAGTTTTATGGGAATTCACATGCCAACTGGAAAGAATATTTCCATCCGTATGGAGAACAGGAAATGGTGTTCCTTATGTTGATCCATCTCCCTGAACGCCTGATTGGATTTCTGGAGAAAGGACGAGATGACCAAGGAATATCTAAGGTATATACAACAGTTTATATAAGGCCTACTTTTAAGCAATGCGAGTTTAGACGTTTTATGGCGATTTAAGAAAAAAATTAAATTT